TGTAGATGTTTTCTTAAATCCAGACAAATTTTCCAAAGTTCTGCAAGGGGAACTTGGTAAATAAAGCCCCCTAAAGCTATTCTTTGTTCTTGTGAAGTCAGGCTGATCCTCAAGCCTTGAGTTTCACAGCCAGAGGAGGCCCTTGCAGCTTAGCTGGAACCCAGAGCCATCCTGCATGCCCCAGCTCCTAGGGCTTGGACTGATTTTTTTTTTTTCCTTTCAGATGGCATTAGGCTGAGAGTTGCCCACCTGAAAACAAATGGCTCCAGTATTTATAAGCTCTCCTTAAATGTCCAGGATGGTAACATTAGGGAGATTGGGTGTAGGAGATGAGCTAAGGGAGGACAAGCACAGAGATAGCTTGAGGCTAAATTGTCTCAATGTTTTAATTTCTCCTCAGAGAATGTGTACAAGCATAGCTCATACTGGATTAATTTAATCCAGTTTAATGCATGAACTGCAGGAACTAGAAAGCAATTCATGATTATTAATTGCATTACCAACATCAGGGCCCCTTTGTGCTGTCTGATTTACAAACCCAGGGAGATATACATGGCCCTAAAGAGATTACAATCTAAATAGAAAAGAAAGACAAAGGGTGGGAGGAGAAACAGAGGTCAGAGTCTTACTCAAGGGATACAGCATGTCAGAGTCAGGAAGAGAACCCCAATAACTACTAGGCCACATTGCCTCCCAGTTGTGATTTTTCTGGACTCTTCTGGGCCCAACTCTGCTCTTTCATACTCATGAAAATCTGGAGTAGTTGAAGGTGTAGTCACTGCAGATTAATGCCACAGTAAAAGCAAGCAGAAATTAGCCAATTCTGTCAAACTCATGCGAGGTGCCTATGAGTTCCTTGCAGTAAGTCAGTGGAAGAGCAGTAGAGTTAGAGCTCTTGGCTCCCAAGTCTGGGTTCAGTCCACTAGCCCAGTGGTTCCCAACCTTTTTTTACTGCACACCGGCAAACCCATTCACAGACTTTTAGCAGACTGGTAGCATTGTATTTGCAAGTTGCATTTTCATTCTGCAAATGATGGATATGCAAATACAATGTTACCAGTCTGCCAAGTGGCCGCCACAAACCGTTATTTTCAGCTGCAGTAGCCTCCTGTCATGTGGTGGCTGCCGGAGCTAAAGCAGGCTGCTGTGCAGTGGCTCGGGGCCAGGGTGTACCTCAGCCCTGGCCCCCCGAGCTACCATGAACTGGCTTCAGCTCCAGCAGCCAGTAATTTGTGGCCTGGCACTGGTCCGTGGACTGGCAGTTGGGAACTGCTGCACTAGCCGAGTGGTTCTTAAACAAGAGTCCAGAATCCCCTGGGGGGCCACAAGCAGGTTTCAGGGAGTCTGCCAAGCATGTCAGGCATTAGAGTTGCTGGGATCCAGGGCAGAAAGCCAAAGCCCGCTGCATGGTGCTGAAACCTGGGGGGCTGAAGCTTAAACCTGAGCAAGTGAGCTTTGCAGGACCCCTATATCATGGAGCCCCAGGCAACTGCCCTGCTTGTTACCTCCTCACACTGGTCCTGGCTTTTAGATGCTGAGAAACAGTTGCAGTACAAGTGGGCTGTGGATTTTTATAGCATATTGGGAGCAGGGGGAGCGCCAAGAGGCTGAGAACCTGCACTGGCCCACCTCACTCTTCCTCACCTCAACTCCCTGCCTTAGCTTAAAACAATGAGGGGTCCTGTGGTACCTTAAAGACTAACAATCTGCATCCAGCAAAGTGGGCTTACCCACAAAAGCTTGTGCCCAAATAAATCTGTTTGTCTCTAAGATGCCACAGAATTCCTTAGGTTTTGCAGATACAGACTAACATGGCTGCCCCTTTGAGACTTATTTTAGGTTAATCTCTGTAAATCCCCAGCCACTGCCTGGCTGCCTTTCCCACACCTGATCCCAGCTCCCTCTGAGATGCTCAGCATTCCCTGTAAGCTGAATACTTGGACAGCCACCCAGGAGACAGTCAAATGCTGCTCAGCTGATTAGCAGAGCACCCACAGCTGGCAGCATGTTTCTACTGGTGGTGCACATCTGCATATGCACTAGTGCACCAAACACAATGTATTCCACACATGGATGGACAATATTAGAGGGAACATTGTGCTCTGGTTCTGAATGTCCCAGAAACCCTGCAGCTCTGACTTTCACACATACCCATGAGTTGATCTCAGATGTCTTTTGAATTCGACATAACATTGAAATCCTGAGCACTTGTGGTCCTTCAAGCTCTCATGGTACTTTAGGCAAAAGCAGGTGTTAACCCTGCCAGATATCTGTTTGGATAATTACATGCCAGCATCTATAAAACAACCACCGTGACTTTCCTTGGATACGTTCTCCTTTACATCTTGTCCTAAAGCATAACTGTGTGCTTCCTCCCCAAGTAACTATTATTTACACTGGACTGGACTTGACAATAAACAAGTGTTTTTATTAAGTATAAAAGTAGAATTTAAGTGGCTGTAAGTGAAAAGTTAGATCAAAGTAAGTTACTAAATTAAAATGAACACAACACTTAGCTAGTTTGACTCAAATAAGCAACTTCTTGCATGCAAATTCTTACCCTAAGCAGCTGTTCTTATCTCAGGTAAAGAGCTTCAAGTCAGAAACATTTAAAAAGCAACGAATAGGTCTTGTAGCATCTTAGAGCGTAACAAAACATAGTGGCTGTGTCTAGACTGGCAAGTCTTTGTGCAAAATTGTCAGAGCTTTTGTGGAAATTCAAGCGGCCAGTGTAGACAGCTGGCAAGTTTTTCCACAAAAGCAGATGATCTCATGTAAGACTGTCAGTGCTTTTGCGGAAATACTATGCTGCTCCCGTTCGGGCAAAAGTCTTTTTCCGAAAGACTTTTGTGCAAAAGGGCCAGTGTAGACAGATTTCTTTTCCGCAAAAAAGCCCCAATCGCGAAAATGGCAACTGGGGCTTTTTTGTGGAAAAGCATCCTGCCAATCTAGACGCTCTTTTTCCAAAAATGCTTTTAACGGAAAACTTTTCCGTTAAAAGAATTTCTGGAAAATCATGCCCATGTAGATGTAGAATAGTGATAGAGATGTAGCCGTGTTAGTATGCATAGTCGTCATTTAGCCAACCACTACAATGCAGTCACCTCTGGGATGGAACAGCTGTTTGAAAGTTAAGCTGTAGACCCCAACAGTAAAGATCAACTCTGACTTGAAGCTCATTATACCATCTACGTCTACATCTACATGCAGGACAACGTAGCACTCTAAAGACTAACAAGATGGTTTATTAGATGATGAGCTTTCGTGGGCCAGACCCACTTCCTCAGATCAAATAGTGACTACTTTCTTCCACTATTTGATCTGAGGAAGTGGGTCTGGCCCACGAAAGCTCATCATCTAATAAACCATCTTGTTAGTCTTTAGAGTGCTACATTGTCCTGCATGTAGATGTAGACGTAGATGGTATAATGAGCTTCAAGTCAGAGTTGATCTTTACTGTTGGGGTCTACAGCTTAACTTTCAAACAGCTGTTCCATCCCAGAGGTGACTGCATTGTAGTGGTTGGCTAAATGACGACTATGCATATTGGAACCCTGAAGTCTTTACTCAGTTCTCACTCGGGTGCAACTCCTACTGAAGTCAATGGGAAGATGAGCTATTACTGTGCCCTTTGTAGTCTATGCTACTTTGGACTCTCTTGCACTAACTTGCCTGCTCATTGGGAGTCTGATTCACCATTATCCTGCTGCTTCTTTACATCAGCCAGGCTGATACAAGGGGGTCAGAAGGCGTCATTAGATTGCCAGGGACTTCCTCTTGCAAAGGGAGCCTCTGTGCCTTATCTGAAAATTGATTTTGGAGCAGAGTTCTCCTGTGAGAACATCCCATACATGAAGGATCAGATTTACCTCCTTCCTACATGGTATTTGCTGCTGTGAATCAAAATGCTTGCCAAGACCCCTTTGACTCCTGCTGAGTGGATACAAATGAGCAGCATCAAGGGACTTGATCTCCATGCTCTTGCCACAAATGTTGAGTTCACATCTTCCTTTAGAGCAAGCTGAGGTGGGACATGGGGATCAGGTCAGCAAGAATACTTCAAGAAGGTGTTGCTTGCACAAAGTGGTGCTGCACCTTGGCCTCTGTTTGTGCTAGCACTGATGGACACAGCATTCATCTTGTCCCGAGTGCCTGTTCTCTTGTTTTGTCTCAATCTGTTAGCATTTTAGGGAATATTTTTAACTCTTCAGCCCCAAGACTAAAATTGGCTTGTGCCTGGTCATGCCCAGGCCGATTTTGGTCCCCTGTCCTTTTACCAAAACCCCCAATTATTGTCTGAGCAGTGTGGCATGATGTTGTGCTCTTGCATTAAAGGGTTAAAGGAAGGCATTTGGAGCAGGAGGGTTGCATTTGTTCTGCTGAGGATTAGTGGAAACCCTGGGACAGCTGTTTGACAGCACTGTGAGAGGCAGGAAAGCCAGACTAACTGTGGAACCAGTGTAGTCTAGTGGTTAGAGCAGAGGCTTAGACAACATGAGAGTTGTATTCTAGGCCTCTGACATTGGGTAAGTTATTCTAACTCATACCCCCTTTATCCATGGCTGTGTCTTGACTGGCCAGTTTTTCTGGAAAATCAGCCGCTTTTCTGGAAAAACTTGCCAGCTGTCTACACTGGCCACTTGAATTTCTACAAAAGCACTGACTTCCTACTGTAAAATCAGTGCTTTTTGCAGAAATACTATGTTGCTCCCGTTCAGGCAAAAGTCTTTTGCGCAAAAGGGGCAGTGTAGACAGCTGATATTTGTTTTCCGCAAAAAAGCCCCAATCGTGAAAATGGCGATCAGGTGTTTTTTGCGGAAAAACACATCTAGATTGGCACAGATGCTCTTCCACAAAAGCACTTTTTGCAGAAAAGCGTCCGTGCCAATCCAGATGCTCTATTCCGCAAAAGCTTTTAACAGAAAACTTTTCCGTTAAAGCATTTCTGGAAAATCATGCCAGTCTAGACATAACCCTCGGGACTCACTCATCCATTATTGCTTGTCTCTAACCTCCCTTCACCACAGAACTACTATCTGTCCTTCTCTCCCTAACAGGGAGTGATACTGCATGACAGCAGTTTTCTCTGGGTGGCACGTTTTGGTTCAACTTAAGCTGCGCTGAAACAGGAGAAAGCAGGCATCACATCCATGCATGGCCCCAACAGACATGTCCAGGCCTCTTTTCATGATCTTGCCTGTGGATCCTTTTGTTTGTCTTTAATTCAGCTCTGCCTAATTTTTTAAACAAGCTTTGCTTGAATGGTCAAACTCAGACAAACTGAGCCCTGCCTGGAATTCCTCTACTTGAGATGACAGTCCTAAGTATCTATCTAGCCACACATTTATAACACCCACTAAGATCTCTGAGATTGCTATACAAATGAGCACAGGTGTGTATGTGTGAGATGAATGGGGGAAGGGACAAGAAAACAGGAGGGATAGAGATAAAGGAGAAGACCTCTGTTTCCTGTGCTGGACCAGCACATGGGGATTAGTCAGAGGGGGTTTGCTTCATTCTCCCATCTATAAGGAGTTGCTGCAGAAAAATGGAGACAGAAATAGACCAATCTAGCCTAGTCAGCAAGAGGCATTGAAGAGAATGGCCTCATGCACATGGGTCATTAGTTTCTTAAAGCCCCTGCATAGACTCCCTTCCCCCCCTAGCTTATCTCTTGGACTTCATCTCACACCATGTTCTCCCCCACCTGAACCCTCCAATGTACCAGCTCCAGTGCCTTGTTCCTTTCCTGCTCCCACTCCCTTCTCTATGCCTTTTACCAGACAGCCCCCTGGTTCTATGCCTGGAGATTCCTTCAAATCATCAAGACTGAGCAACTTGGGCAGAGCCCATCCCGTTTGAGCCACATGCAGCAGTGAGCACAATGTCTGAGATTCATTGATAGTCACTGGAGAAGCTGTTAGTCTGTCTACAAAAACAAGGAGTCCTGTGGCACCTTTAAGACCAACAGATTTATTTGGGCATAAGCTTTCATGGGTACTTGGATCTGATGAAGTTGTTTTTGCCCATAAAAGCTTATACCCAAATAAATCTGGTCTTAAAGGTGCCACAGGTCGTCTTGTTAAAGTGTTACTAGCATCCCTGTCTTATGGCTGGGCACACTGAGGATAATAGCCTACTACTCCTACCAGCTAAGGGAATGGCTTCTTTAGCTCAGGCAGTAGAAGTCCTTTTCCCTGTACAATCCCTACCACAGGGCATAATCAAAAGCTGCATCCTCTCTCTTTCCAGTTTCATTCCTTCATTCACATCCCTCTGCTCACTGGTGTAATAATCACTGTATGGTCTTTGTGGCAGGTTTCCTATGCAGGTGTTATAACCCAGTGGGAGATCATCTTCATTTTAGGGGTTCTTAAACCCTCAAATATTCAAAAGAAACCTTACTGACCACCAGCATTGAGGGTCCTGACACCTGTGCTTAGCAAACAATACTATCACCATGCATGGGGGTTACATTCCTGGGGAAAGCCTGTATCCATACAACATAGTATAGCTCAGCTTGGTAATGAAGGCCATATTGTTCTGGAGCCAACTTGTAGTGGGAAGGATGGTTATGGAGGAGCTGCAGCCTGCGAGGCGAGAAGAGGCAACAGATCAAAAAGCATGATTAACATTTCTGAACTGCTGCCTGTGCTTGCCATTTCTTCAGGTAGGAGAAACATTTGTTTGGGCCAGATCTTCAGTGGGGAAAACCTGACTTTGCACCAGTGAGCTCAGCAGAGAGATGCTGCATGACACTCGAGAAGCAGGGCCATGAATTTCCAAACTTTCCTAACTCCTTATTTTTTCCCCCAGTTCCCTGTACTCCTCATTCCAGTGGTTTTGACAGGGGCTATTCTCCCCACCACGGACAGGCTGTCCTTTTTCATAAGGATGGTTGTCACACTGGAAGTCATGAAGGCAATTCTGATGAATCAATGCCTCAGTCAGTGGCATAGATGACTGGTGCTTGCAGAGGGAGGGGTGCATGGAGGGCCACCTAGAGGAACAGGGAGGGGGCATGAGGAGGGCAGTGCACCTGCTGGGTGCTATCACAAGTCACCTGTGGCCATAACCTTGCTGATGGAGGTGCCATTCTTCAGAAGAGGCACCTGGCCACTTGTGGTCAGTAAAGAGCTCGCAGCAGTTTTCATGATGGCTGGGGGATTGGTCCTAGGCATGCTGGCCAAATTCCAACCTGAGCAATTACATTCTGTCTAGCCGTAGTCTGCTTTGTAGCTGCAGCTGGATGCATTTACTTGTCACTTCCTGTGCTAAGCTACTGCCATGCTTCACTCCAGAGGTGGCTGCCTTATAGTGGTGGGGGTATAAGTGGATATTAATAGAACTGATGAATCTACTTCACTAATCAACTGCAGCCTCTGAATAGGAACTCCAGTTAGGAACCCCTCTTCTCCTTGTATAGGTCCTTCCTTCCCCTGAGGAGGCCAAGAAGAGCTTTTTGCAGCTCCTTGAGGAATTCAGCTGGAGGCAGTAAACTGGAGAATGCATGAAGGAACAGGGGTGCATGTGTGCGGCAGCTGCTTTCCTGCAGGTGGCTGGAGCAGGCCGGATGTGGGAAAGCAACAGGAAAAGAACACCTCTTTCTTGATTACATAGCTATCCAGCACATCGAACCAAGGAAAGATGCATTTTAACCAAGGGATCTTTGGGCTTCCCAGAGTAGCTCCTCTAAGGACAATGGGAGACAGCAGATTGGTGGTTTTTTTTTGGGGGGGGCTCCAGGTTCCCAGCAACAAAACCCCAGACAGCCCCCACCTGTTAGCGTTTAAAAAGAGAAACCACAAAGCCCTGACATCACAAAGCATTAACAAGCAAAGGCTATTACAGGCTGCGCAGCACAGGAAGTTTAAGCCTCAGGAATTCTTAACTTCCAGCTCTGCAGCTGTGCAGCTGGTTTTCTCATAAAGCCCTGACCTGTGAGTGCCTATGTCTCCTTCAGCTAACCTTTCACCTCCCGTTCTCCATGCCCCGACAATGGCAGAAGGACCTGGAAAGCCACAAGCCCTGCATTGAGGCCTAGCTTTGAGCCAATCAGTCATGCCTCCACCCCGGGGTCACAAAGCACTGCAGTTGAGTGAGCTGGCTACATTATCACCAGAGCAGCAATGAACTCAAATTAGCAAATTACAGGCTCCAAGGGCAGCTGCCAATTATTGAAATCAGTTGTGGAGGAAAAGGAAAACATAAAATCCAGGCGGGATAGGCCTCACAGTGAGCCAGAATGGAGACATGTGGAAAGCCAGATAGCTCAGCAGCCTGAAACCACAGGCCTTTAAATTATTGTCTTGGCTCCACTCCCTCTGCACCTTGAATTTCTTAGCTCTTGTTACTGTTGCCCTGCCAAGTCTCCCTTTAAACTGCACAGAGAAAGTCCAGCAGAACTTTTGTGTTTTGAAAGACCTCTCTCTCCACAGGGCGGGAAGCTGGGGAAGACAGAGGAATGCATGCCTGGGTGTGTGAATAAACTTAAACATCTGGAGAATGAAATTACCTTAGCTGGAATCTGGTTTCAACACTGCAAATAAACCTCCTGGGAACCTGATGTCCACTCTGCTTCCCCCCCTTCTTTGGAACAAAGGTTCCGGCCTTTTTGGCTTGTGATCATAGCGTGTGCTTCAGTGGTGGTTGCTGGTGACAGATGGAATGAATGCCGCTGAACTGTATCGGATAAAGCTATCACACTGGGAGCAGCTGGGTGCAATGTCCAGGGGGCATTGGCTGGCTTGATGGGACTGGTTAAATGGAATCTTTCATGGGGATTCTGCAGGTTCAAATCCACCTCCGGGTGAGCAGCTAATTAGCCTTACATGAGCCTCATTAGTGTTTAGCAACAACTCTCTTGTGCTGGGTGCTGTACATTTCAGAGCAGGCAGTAGTAACCTATCCCCATGGAGCTTATAGTCTAGATAGACAAGATGACAAACAGTGGGAGAGGCAGTCTTGTAATCCCTGTTTGACTGATTGGAGGACAGAGGCACAGAAGCAAAATGCAGGACAATGTAGCACTTTAAAGACTAACAAGATGGTTTATTAGATGATGAGCTTTCGTGGGCCAGACCCACTTCCTCAGATCAAATAGTGGAAGAAAGTAGTCACAACCATATATACCAAAGGATACAATTAAAAAAATGAACAAATATGAAAAGGACCAATCACATTGCAGAACAGAAGGGGGATGCGGGGGGGTGGGAAGGGGGAGGAAGGAAGGTAAGTGTCTGTGAATTGCTGATATTAAAGGTAGGGAGAGAGGCACAGAGAAATTAAGGCAGTGAAGTCAATGAACAGATTCTCATTGATTGCAGTAGGCACTGGACCCAGATCCTTGTCCATGGTCACATTGAGGAACACTATGGCCAGAGCCAGCAATTGAATCCAGGCCTGAAAGTCCATTTGGCGGTTTGCATTACATGAGTGTGTGGGTCTCAATCCAGCTCCCTGAGCTCAAACGCCCTACCTGATGCTAATGACATCTGAGGCTGTCAGTAAAGGGGCCTGGGATTGAGGGCATGATGGAGTGTGGTCACAGAAGACCCCTTGGGGTGCTTCCTGGTGTGCTGGCAAAGCCACTAACATGTGCCTCCTTGCCCTCTGGGGTTTCTCACCACCCTGTCCTGCTGGGCCAGATCTCCTGGTCTTTCCCCCAGCCAAGGCACCAAGCTGAGATCAACCCCTCTCCTCCCCCTCTGCTGCTCTCTAATGAGCAATACAGACACTGAGTCTCTTCAGGTCTCAAGAAAATGTAGTTTAGGGCACAGCTTCTGAGAACCCAACCCCCAAATGGAATCAGAATCCCAAATAAATCATTCAGAGAAGCTCTCTAACAATGAAAGGAGGATGTACACACTGATTGCTCCCCCAGGGATACCAATTATTTACACTGGGCTTGATAGTAAATAAATGATTGTATTAAGTACAAACAATAGGATTTAAGTGGTTGCAAGTGAAAACAGGCAGGGCAAAGTAGATTACAAATTTAAAATAACAGAAAATACATAGCTAGTTCTAAGACTAAAATCTCAGTACAGACTCACCCCTAAACTGTTCTTATTTCAGCTAAACCTCCAAGCCAAGGAAGATAGATAGATAGATATTTTTTCCCCCTCCCTGGGGTTTCTGGTTCATTCTCTTGGGAGTGATTTTTTTTTCCCCCCCTGGGGTTTCTGGTTCATTCTCTTGGGAGTGATATGCCAGCCAAAGACAGACTGAAAATCTTTTCCTTTTAAGTGGGAATTCTTTGTTTTACATTCTCCCCTTCCATGGAAAATTACCTGGTCAAACCCTATCTGTTGTGGTTGGTCTCAGGAAGACATGACCACCCCTACTTAGCTTTAAAGGACAGAAGAGGCGGTTTACAGGTAGGGATGTAAAAGTGTAGTTGACTAAGCAAAAGCTTATAGGTTAATGCTAGACTACATGCATTCCACCTCCCACTTGCCAGTAACTTTTTTTAGCAGGCTGGTCAGCAGCTCAACTCAATTCTGGCTCACGCTGGATCCAGGAACTCAGACCACCCCCTAGACAGGGGCTGCTGCCATCCCGCACCGCCACCTCTTTATCAAAGGCAGCAGCACAGGGCGACAGCATAGGTCCACAAGCTAGATTTTAAATTGGCTCCCTTCCTAGACCATTTCCCACCTGGCACCCCATGCTGCTGTCTCTAATACAGTGGCAGGGGTCTTCTTGGGAGTGAGGCTGGAGCACTGGCCCCACCCCCAGGAACTATAGAATAGTCAACAAACCAATAAGAATTCATGACATTACTTGACTATTCAATTAACCGATATTTAACATCCCTATTTACAGGTGATCACCCAGACATTGAGGGACACACCTTTGATGTCTTTCATTTGGACATTTAAACCCATAAACCATTCCATAGTTCATATCTCTAATTTTAGATACAAGAATGACACATACACCAAAATAAGATACAGATCCAGCAGATTGACACATTAAGACTGATAGGTTACATTAAATATGTTCTTCAATGCCTCTTCCAGTTATGCATATTTGTGTCCATAGGTCAATTTTGTAAAGCATAGGGGGTGAAACTGTCACAGAGGGGTCAGGGAAAGTGAGCTTGCTCTGTATAAAACTTTACACAGAGTAAGATTTATCTGGAGCTCTGGTCTCATTGGAGTTGTGCACCTGGTTGCCGTGTCAAGATCTTTTGGATGAGCCTTCCCAGAGCTGAGTGGCTCTCAGTGTCTGTATTGCTGTGCTGTGGCTTGTGACCCCAGCATTGTGTCATCACTGCAGGAGATTAGCAAGTCTGGTTTGGTAGGACTAGGTGGTGAGCGATCAATAAGGTAGCAAAACAGGCTCAGCACATCAAGTGGCAGTCCCCAGGGCATCTCTGTGACTGAACCTGGCACACCAGGTCTCCAGCAGTTGAGAGCAGTAATTGCAGAAAGTCCTGTCCAAGCCCCTGCAACCCCAGGCTACAACAGGCTCGGTGACATTGTGAGGATGGTGCAGGCAGATTGATCACACGTAGGGGTTGTGAAAGGGTGAAGGATGCTCAGTGTAGACAGACTTTTCAGCGAATACAATTGCAAAACTCTAAAGTCTCTATTGAGCATGTGCAAATGGAGACATTTAGAGACTTATAATTTGGCCAAATATGGGTGCCTTGCATGAGGACAACTGACTCCCTGTATGAAACTTCAATTCCCTGCTCCAACGCATGGGGGTGCCCTGCCTTCTCAACAAAATATTTATAAGATTTTTTTTTAACATGGGCAAAACAAAATTTTTCTTTAATTTTTGGAGAGAGGTGAACCATTTTAGCTGAAACATTCCAAAATATTTCAGTCTGAGACAGAAAACTGAGCTCAGGCATGGAAAATTCTAGCTTGACCAGTTCAAGTTTGCCAAAGATTAAAGTTATAAGCAATTGAAAATGGAGTCTTATACTGGAATGTGCCAGGCATTCTTAACTATGAGTGTTCCCTGCCTGTTGCACCATTAATATTTTTAAAGTCATAAGCTCTTTGGGAGCAGGAAATATCATTTTGTTCTGTGTTTGTATGGCGCCTAACATCCCTGAGTCTTAATCCATGATTACGGTTACTAGATGCTAGTTACAAATAATACAAACTAATACTATTATAGGGACTGATCTCATGGCTTTTAAAAAAAGCATGCAGTTATGTGGATCTGTTGGTGATCACTGCAAGATACAGAGCTAGCAAATACAGGGAGGGGAAAACAGACCTGCCAAATTATTCCTAGACGTATGTCTACACGGCAATACTATTTTGAAATAGCGCTGTTCTGAAATAACTCAGGGTATGTCTACACTTGCAGCCTATCTCGGAATAGAAAACACGATTATGTAGCACTTTAAAGACTAACAAGATGGTTTATTAGGTGGTGAGCTTTCGTGGGCCAGACCCACTTCCTCACATCAAATAGTGGAAGAAAATTGTCACAACCATATATACCAAAGGATACAATTAAAAAAATGAACACATATGAAAGGGACAAATCAAATTTGAAATAAAGCCCTATTTCAAACTACCTGTTAAACCTCATTGCAGGAGGAATAACAGGTAGCTTGAAAGACGGTTTTATTTCAAACGCCCGTTTCACTGCCGTGTGTAGACGTGGGCAGTTATTCCGGGGTTGTAAATTTCAAAAAATGGCACCCGGCCGGGAACATGAAAATCAAGCACGGGATATTTAAATCCTGGGCTTAATTTGCAATTCCAAATGCCTACATTTGCAGCCCTATTCCAAAATAGGCTGCAAGTGTAGACATACCCTTAGTCTGCATCTAAATAGTAGACAGTTATTTCAACTACATAGTAGGCAGTTATTTCAAAATAGTGTCAAAATACTGTCAAGCTGGAAGACTTCTTACTCTGACTCCTGTGAACCTCATTGTATAAGGAATAAGGGAAGTCAGAGGAAGAGTGCTCGATTTCAAAATAAGGGCTATGTAGATGCTCCCTATTTCAAGATAAGCTATGCAATCGATGTAGATCAATTTGCGTAGCTTATTTCAAGTTAAGCCCTGCAGTGTAGACACACCTTCACAGCTCAAAGGAAAGCCCCAGGAAATTGGATGCTTAGTGCTTGTATTGGTAGTGGAGGGAATACTTGGGGAATTAACATATTATGCACACGCACGCATGCAGGGCTGGCCTGAGCCCTTCTGGCACCCCAGGCCCAGGCGCGCGGCGCCGCCCCTGGACACACGGCACATGCACGGGCCTGCCCCCGGGGTGCACAGTACATACATGGGCTGGCCACGGCAGTTGGCGCACAGGCTGGGGCCCGCCCGCATGGCGCATGGCCCATGCACTGCTCAGCCAGCCTGGACACCGCTACTGGCACATGCGCCGTGCAGGGCCCCACAGCTATGGGGGGAAGGGTTACTTTGTAACCCTGGCCGGCGCTGCGGGAGCCAGGTGCACAGCGCCTGATGGCAGCTGTAAGGGATGCTGCACATCCCTTACAGCTGCCATCAAGCATCCCCCTTCGGTTGGTGCCCCGGGCAGCTGCCCAGCTCGCCCATGCCTCA